GAGTTGCACCTGTTTGTGTCAGTGTCAGTCTTAGCTCCTCAAGTTGTAACATACCCCTTGTTGTCAAAAGCCATTCATTTTAAACCAAGCTTAAAAAGGGTTTCAGCATCTTATATTTTTCATAACCTGGAAAGCACAAGCTCAGGCGTTATTTGGTGGCGGCCTGTAAGTACATAAGGGGTGTGCATCAGGATCTGGGGGAACACCTGTTCACCAGAGCACCCCAAGGAATAACAAGGTCCAACCGTCATAAACTCCTGCAAGACCGTTTTAGGCTGGACATAAGGAAAAACTTCTTTACTGTCAGAGCCCCTAAGGCCTGAAATAGACTCCCCCCAGAGGTGGTGCAAGCACCCACTCTGAACACTTTTAACAAACAGCTGGATGCTTATCTTGCTGGGATCCTCTGACCCTAGCTGACTTCCTGCCCCTTGAGCAGGGGGCTGGACCTGACGATTTTAACAAGGTCCCTTCCAGCCCTAATGTCTATTAAATTATGAAACCTATAAAGGAGAATCAACAGCCAACTCAAAGAAAAAAGAAACATCTCTCAACACAATGCACCTTGCAGGAAAAACAAAACCTCCAAAGGAAAAAAGCGTAATGATTATTCATGTTCCACTCTCAGTAACTGCATTCACACATTTTTCAGTGCTGTGAGTTTCTAATCCAGAATGCTACTCTGGGACATGGCCAGAATGCAACATGTGAATTTAATATACTTGTAGCATGCAAGTTACATTAAAATATGTAGATATACACTAAATGCAAATATGGCTCTTTAAGTTCCATCAGTATTCTATGCTTACATTTACAATGCTGCTGTCAAACATACTTCATTTATAGGTTAGCAAGTTTATTTTCCTAAATGCCAGCTCCTTAAGCTCATGCTATAATATGAAAGGAAAGAAACATATTACCACCAGTATTAAAACTACATTTGAAAGTGGACATACGTGTAAGTTTTGTTTTAAACTGGGAGGAGGGTAGTAGGGAGAAGGCTTATGTTTGTCGGTGGGTGCCTTAGCTATTCCAGAACAATGATTTTGCTTGTCCACTCCTAACCTGCACTAATCAAAGCTAAGTCAGTTTTGCCCATTAATGAAACAGGCAGTATACTTAGGGTTTAGCTTCACTTTCTATAGGTTAGAAACAAACAGACAAAGCAGTTATGCTGGATTCAGTCACACTTTAGTAACTCTCTGTCCCCCTTTTAATGCAGCACGAAAGGTTTCACCATCCACACCACTGGAAATTCATTAACAGTTCTCATAATGAGCCAGAACTCCGGTCTCTCTTCCACAGCTACATGGATTCTGCAAAGCTAACAGGGACAGAATCTTGTTTTTGGTAGTAAGCAGATACCAAACCAAAAACACCGAGAGGCTGCTATGAGATTCACTCTAATGAGTGCTGCAGTGATCATGGGGTGATGATGTTGGCCCTCATATTTATAGACAGGATATGTCCTTGCAGGAAGAATGAAACAGATGACCTAAATCATGATTTGTGGTCTTGTTTATTCTTTGACATAAGAGGGAAATGGATCTCTCCATTAGTGGAAAATTTCAAGCACTACACCAATGAAGAAAAAACAATTTGCCTCTTCTCTAACAACTTACAACCTGTCCTATATTCTGTAGGTATATCTGCACTACTTACACAAATAATAAGGGCCAAAATCAAATAGAATTCCCCCTTTTTTTTATTCTACTAGTTTATATTGCTTTATTTTATTTAGTTTTATGTATTATTACATTATGTTTGATATTATTTCTGTTGAAATTAATGGAATGTGTAATTTTATCATATTATTTTACTACCAACTACAAATCACATAAAATGATATGTAATAATAGAAGTATTGTTAATTCTCCTGTACCATTTTAATGAAAGCTGGAAATGAACTACTACCACTATGGATGTCACTTAAAATATGTAAAGGGAGAGGACCTGTACAGCAAGAAAGTGATCAGAACCCAAGCACTGCAGTAGTAAAGCCAACTATTAGCCTACTCTATTATAATACAGATGTATGGTACAACTCTCAACCCAACCCTTCTGATTTTAGGGATTCACATGAGTTACATCACACAGCTCAGGGTGCAGCCAGTTTGAGGTTATAACCTGTTAAAGTAAAACTCACACAGAGCGTGAAGTAGACTTTTGTTTCAATAAATTTGACTAGAAACATTCAAGTCAGCAGAATTAAAAGATCTCTGTGCGTACATGTGTTTGAGAGAGAGACTTTGTGGACTAACAGTTGTTGCCACACAGAACCCACCTCTCCTCTTTTCTCCACTCCTGTAAAACTAAGATATGCTCTTATCTAGTTAAAACAAAACAAAACAAAAAATACCCAAACTTGTAGGGCCTAAATCCAGGCTTTAACCCAGTAAAATGCCCATCACATGAATGAGAAATTCAACAGGTTTATGGTTTTAAGAGCAGAGGCCATAAATGTTTATGAAAGCCTAGGTGTGTATTGCTTGAGACATACAAGGACACAACAACTGTAAGGGACTGCGAGAGTCCTGAGGGCACAGCCTCAGGCTGCAGGTCTAGCATTGACATTGTCTTGCTACATGACCTTGAGCAAGTCACTCACATGCCTGATCCAGAAAAGCACTTAAGCATACATATAATCCTACTGACTTCAATAAGATTACTCAGTCTGCTTGAGTATTTTGTTGGAGCAGGTTTCCAACCTGTTTATCTAGCTATAAAAGCAATGAACAATTAAAAGTTAAATTTGTTTCATAGTCAATTTATTCATCACACCTCCCTCCCTCTGCAAGTTATAATGTTTTAGTGGCCATGAAGCAATTGAGATAGCCGGTGATGAACATTCTGTAAGTATAATGTTATCATTTCTAGATCACATTTTGTGATTTGATTTCAGGTAAGTGACATTTATTATATACATCAGGGATTAAAATTATAGGAAAGGATTTGCCTACTCTGTTAACCCAATTAGGTGCCCCAAAGTAACGGGTTTTACTCCAGTTTCAAGACAATAAAACTGATCCCATACACACTTAAGCAAATGGGACTTCTCACAGTCATAGAGATGTGTTCAAGTGTGATTTGATCACAGATCCCACAGTAAAAATGCCTGATCCAAATTGCTAATTCTTTTACTGTTTATGTAATGGGGTATAGTCTTGATTTGATTTCTAGGTTTATATATTAAACTACAGGTCTGTCACATGTGACAGCTCAGTTCTAATAAGTAGCAGTGTACAGTGTTTTCTGGATGGGGAGCCTATATAAACACAAGGCTGTGAATAAAAAAAAATATGACCCACCAGTGGGGAATTAAAGTATTGTTTTTGTTTGTTTGGTTTTTTTCCATTTTACAGAGGAAACCAAGACAGTAAAATCTGTTAACTTGGCCACGGTCAAGGTTGACTCTGGCCTGTGGCACAGCTGGGAGTAACACCCAGATCTCCCACCTCCTGGTCCCAGGCCTTAAACACAACACTATTATTCCTCTATGTTTCATGTTATATCACAAATCAAACGAACACAATGTTCTACATGTTTCTGTCCTTGGTGCAGAAGTAGTCTGTATCCGGGAATAAGATATTTCATTTACATACTCCTAAAGTCTGTAAGAAAGTCAATGTTAAAATAGATGCTATTGTTACTACAGGAGTCAAGAGAATTGGGTTCTATTTTCATAACAAGTTTCCTTTATAAATTGGCCAAACATCTTAGCTCTAGATTTGCTGGAGATATATCTAGATTAGGAGATTAAGCCCAGATCCTGTTCCACCTCTTAAATGTCTAAGGGGACTTTGGCATGTGCCTATGATGCTTTTCCACCCTGCGCAAGCCCCTGAAAACAAACAGAATCACCCCATTAACCTTTGTAATACATCCTCATGTCAGCCTTAAGAATAAGTTACAAAAACCAGAGAGCAGAAGGACGATTTTGGCACTAACTCTTCTCTGGGGACAAGAACAGGGTAGAATAGGATCACACCTGGGTGCCAAGCAAATGGAAAGAATTAAGGTTTTACACTCTTATCACTCCTAGGAGCTGCTAAGCACCTGCAGCTCCAGCACCTGTAGCTAAACAAATAGGTGCTCATTACCTTAAAAAACTGGGCAGTAGCTTCTGCACAGTGGGCCTGCTACCTAATAGAACTGCCAAACATGCCCACACCTCAAAAGTCTCGATGCTTCAGTTTTGCCATCTGCAAATGGAAACGCAACCTGTGGCCGGGGTATGCTAATATCTGCAATGTATTTTGAAATTCTACGAAACAAACTCCTATACAGCCTGGAAATCCTGTTACTTGCACAGAGCTGCTCTTTTGACAGCTGACAGATTTCTAGCCTGAGATCTTGGACCTCGGTTAGGGAGTTGCAGCGTGAGCCCAAGCTCCTACCAGCTTCCTTCGGGCTCCAAACTCGCCTCAGTGAATGGTCAACAAACAGGATAAACGGAGAAGTTACATTGCATGCTCCCCCCCCCCACACTGAGATGGCATGAAAAATATTGAATCCTTTACCTAGAAAGTCTAGCTGACCTGCCCTAACTAACACTCCCGCTTCCCGCAAGGGGACTTCAGAGTGAAACCTTGATAACTGCAAATACAACCCCGGCTGCTGTCCTGGCCTTCCACAGGGCATCCCCCGGGTGCCAGAGGGTTGAGTGGGTCTTCCCTTGGGCTGGGAGCAGCCCTATTGCCGCAGTTTCCCTTGCTGGGGCAAGTGCCATTTTGTCCTGCACCAGGCAGGCCCTGCTCCCTGGCCTCAGTTTTCCCAGCTGTGAAATGAGCGCCTCCCTTGGGCTGCACCACCCTTGTGGAGGGCAGGGGCTGTCTTGCCATGACAGGGGCAGCACATCTCCCTGGGGCCGGCGGTAGTTGGGAGGCTCCCAAGGAGGCCTGCACAGGCTGGTGGGGAGGGAAGTGGATGGAGGAGAGTCTCTGCCGCCCGCCCCCGGCCCCCCCCCGCGTGCCCCGGGGCCGGCCGCCCGGGCGGGTGACCTGCACGCCGCTGGAGTGCTCGAAGAAGAAGAGCACCATGCTCTGGTAGATGTGCTCATTTGTAAATGGAAATCCAGCACGTCGGAGCAGATTCAATTAATTGAGACTGCTGGAGCATGGCAATACCCATGCTTCAGCAGCCTCCTGTGTCACATGTATCAGCGTCTCTGCACACAAAAATGGCGGTGGGGGTGCTTGAACAAATGCCTGCTGAATGAATTTTAGTTCAAGCATTCCCACCACCATTTTTAAGTGCAGGGACGCTGTTATACAAGATGCAGTGGTGCTTTAATTAGAGCAGCTCTTAGAGTCACTCTAATCAGTGCCATAGCAAGGGGGGGCTGGGTGAGCAGGGTGACCGCCCTGGGCACCGAAGTGAAGGGGTGCCAACAAGCACTGCCCAGCCTGGGTCGGGCATGGGATGGAGCCATGAGTGGCTCATTTGCAGGGG